CAGATCACAGATCACGGATCAGTATCAAAGTTCAGGGATCGAGATCAACGGTCAAGGATCAGGATAAAAGATCACGGATCGAGATCAAGAATCGCAGATCTGACTCATGCATCTCGGATCACGGAAGATTTGGCTCAGAGGTCAAGATCAACGAGCGATCTGGATCATGTGCTTGATCCGTGGATCAGGATCCGCATACCGGCCCTGGTCTTGCTGATTGACATCTTTGCAATCCTCAACCGGGGCAGAAAGGAAAATAACTATCTCGCGGGTGTTGTTTAGTGTGCCGAGGATGATTATATCACTCTAAACTCAAAGTCATGCAAGGGAAGAAGCAGTTCTTAGGTCAGAGGTTTTCGATTGTACAGTGAGGGCCATACTGCCGGGACCCGAGAGAAACTTCGAACCAAAGAGAAATCGTGCCTGGATGGACCATCGGCTAGGTTTTGCGCCGAAAGGACGCGGGATATCCATAGATTGACGCCTTTTCGAGAAACCAGTCGCCAAAATTCTCTGACCATGTCGTTCAGATCATTCTGGCTCGAACTACCCCGGATGAGTGCGTGCTTTACTGGCTCGCTGTCCACATATAGCCATGCAGTTCTTCCTTTCAACGATGAGGCGAAAGTGCGTATGGCAACGAGGGCGGCTAATAACTCAAGAGGCACGATCTGCGTAGCTCGATGCTTCCACGATCCGACTATGCCGCTATCTGCAATCTCGGAGAAGTAGCGGTTCTTCTTCCCAGTCTCTGGACCGAAACACAAGACCGCTCCGAGTCTTCCCTTGGCTCCCTCGGCGTCAGAGTATATCACGAGCGCGTTCTCGATTGGGGGCTTCATTGGGAAGACGCGGCTGAAGGGAGCCTCGGAGAGGAGCTCGCTGAGCTGCTGAAGGTCATCTGCTGACTTCTTCGGATCCCTCCTTCCCCAAAGTTGGGCGTGTAGCCGTCTGATAGAAGCCCGCCACGAGAAGTCTCCCGATGTTGCAGACGCGAACGTGAGCTTCCCGCAGAGCTTGCGTATCCGACCTGGGCTGGGAACAGCTGCCTGCGACAGTTCCCTCATCAGTGTCTCGAGAGAGATTCGTTTCTCCTCTGGGAGGCTCAAGGTGAGAGATTCTCTGTCTAACTTGACTCCTAAGCCGAGCAGATCGGTGTCATTGCTGGGCTGAGTCCGTTTGGTCACTTTCTCGCGGAAGCGGATAACTTCATTGAGGAAGATCCAGCATTCGAGAGCGGAAGGTGATGTTTCACTCCGTTCTACTGACCAATAGTCATCGATGAACGACATGGCAGCCAAGCAGAAGAGGACCCGTAAGAGGTGCACCAAGCATTGGGATACCCGACAATATGAGGTTACACTCGAGCTGGACCCAAAAGATGCGGCTCGATGACGGAATATGGCCGGTTTGTTGTCAGGATCAGCAATACAGATCAATTGATATTGAGCATGATCCGGATGAGTCGGCACTTGCTGATAGGCATTCTCGTGATCACCCTTGAAGATCTGGAAATTGCAGCCGTCGGCAGCCCTGCTCAGACGTCTCCATGCACCGATCAGGGTCTGGTGGGTGGGTAGGGTTACGCGCTGCCCAAAGGACGTCGCCAAATTTGTTTAAATTTGTGCTCCGTTTATAATCATCGCAAAGGCGAGTTTTATCACTTTGGTGGACAGGAAAGCGTCTAACAATGACCGGGTTTTCGAAGGACGATTCGATAGCGGTCAGCTGTAAGGGACCTTCCAAGTGTCCTTTCTCCACTTCTTGAAGGGTGCCTTCCCAAACCTCCGCTTTGAAGCCTTCCTCGCAAATGGAGTTGATGATACTGGCTCGGGCGGATCTTGCTCTGCGGTGCAACTCATCGAGAGAGATGACCTTTTCTTTGCCATCCGAATCCGTCGGGGGGCGAGGGGGTGCGAATACCCCGGGTGCCACCGTCATGTGACCGACTACCGGCATGCCATTGCGGAGGTCTTCGACTAGAGCTCTGTCTGGGTAATCCGTCAAATCTATGAGTTCCTCCAGGAGGTCCAAATTCAGGTTGCCGGCGATCTTTGCGACGTCGGAGTGAATGGGGGCCTGCGAGGTAGTAGTTGCTGACTCCAATGCTACCGCTCGCTTCTTGATTGCTTTCATGGTGAGCTTCCGACGCCGGATGATCTCATCGGGAGTCAAAGAAAGTTGGGTTTCAATAGCTGCTTCGAGAGACAGCGGTAGGGTTATGCCCGTCTCGAAAGGGTGCTTGCGGTTGAGTGCAGCTTTGAGATGATCCATCGAGTCTCCTGTTACGGGAAAGTTTTCTAGAAGCTTGGCGTCAAGCTTGAGGCTTGTGTAATAGAGTCTGTCAGCAGTGTGGTCTCCCTTCGAAGTGTTTTGTGTTCGGCGCAGTTCACGTAGTTTTCTCCAGCGCTATGGGACCCGCCTCCGACTTGCGAGCTCTCTGGCGGCGGCGGTAGTCAGCTCTTGTCTTGCGACATCGCTTCCCCGTCATAGGCACGTTGGAGAGGGTGAAATAAAGCTGAAACAGGAAACGAGTACGTCGATCTCTTGCTGATGAACCATGAGCGATGAACTAATCAAGTGATTCTGCGACATTCCCCAAAGTGAGACTTGAAGAGCGCTCCGCTTTCGCAGTACACTCTCGCTGAGTCACACTTGTGGAAGATGGGGCTTTTCTCACTCGGTGAGTTCGATTTGATGACTCGATGAGTGACGTTGCTCTGCCGAGATACGGCGGGGATTTCTTCCGAGATCGTTTTATTCGGTGATCTTCGTACTCTGCTCCAGAAGATGCAACTTGGAAGGCGCTTTCCGCTGTCGCGGCTCACCCTCTCTGAATCACATCCATGAAGTGAGTTCGAGTTCACTATCTAGCCGTTGATGCCCTGACTAGACAACGCAAAGCTATCTCAACGACACGTAAATACTACCATACTGAGAGTCAGGGACAGGTCAGAAACGGCAGAAAGGGAAAGAACCAAGCGAACGAAGAAGCGAGGGAAGATCATGGTCCCATCGCAGTCTGGGACTTTCAACACCCGAATTAATGGTCGCTCTGATTATCGTCACTTGTGATCTTTAGCCTTGGTCGAGGACGTGGCCTCAGGATTGGCACCTTTCTCACCGCCACGAGGCTTCTTATTGGGTGGTTCACGCCGGTCTCCGCCCTTACGGTGTTGCTTCTGACCGCGGCGTTTGGTCTCAGCGGATAAGTTGCTTCTGGAGCTACTCTGCGACTTACTCCTGGCTTCAGCGGCCGCTTCACTAGCACGAATGCTGAGATCGTCATGGCATTTGGCCATCTTCAACATTGCTCTGGGCAAGGACTTTCCTTGCCTCAAAAGGTCGACAACCCTCTCTTGGATGAGGTTGTGGTACTCGATGGCACCATAAGGACCCGAGGCTCGACCATTAGGACCGAAGGACTTCCTTGAGGTGGCCTGAGCACAATTTAGCAGATGTGTGAGAAGTGGTCCCATCTGCAATGTGTCGCACTCACTGTCAGAGTTGGCCTTGCAGTTTCCGATCAGAACAACGGTAGTAGACCATCTCAATAGAGCTTTGAAGACATTGTTCATCATACCGGGATCCTCGTTGGGCCGGAAGAAGCACTTGATCGGGAGCGCCAGAACGTGTCTGATCTTGTCAGCATGACCACTGCTCAGACAACTCGAATGAACCTCCTTGACCAGTGAGTCTTCGGGATGGAGGTCGTGGCACATACCCCTAAGGTAGGGAGTGCCACTGAGAAGGGCTTCAAGATTGGGGATGGACTTGTTTTGTTTGTTGGTACCGTCTTGACTCATTTGAAGGAAGGCTGCCAGCCCACTCGATAGGTCGGTGATGGTTTGGGAAGAACACACAGGGGCACCAGAGTCCTTCCACTCAGCGGATCCTTCAGCATTGTCACCGTTGTCAGTCTTGCCGGCGGTCATCGCAGCGACTCGGGCTGCTTCGATCTCTTCACGAGTCGGCTGATCATCTGCGGGCATCATGTGTGAGGAGGAAGAGCTGACAAAGTAAGCTGACGAAGTAAGCTAGCAAAAAGTCGCTCACAACAGTAGGTTGCGGGCGTGTAGAAAAGACCGACGACCATGTCTCACCGTCAACTGCGTGAGTTGGATTGACGGTCTGCTACGAAGCAGATGATGTCTCAGACACTAGTCACATTGATTCACATGCTCCCCGGAGGGGCACTTGCGAGTGGGTGGTGGGATCCCCTCGCTGGACAAGGGTCCGGTTCAGTCCTGAGACGTTCCCTGGAGAGTCTTGCCCGAGGTACTCGAGTTGTCATAGAGGAGACAACGCCGGCGACCTCCTTCGCACGGTGCGAAGCTTCGCGATCCCTTCGTTCGCGGGTTGCTCCTCCATGGGTGCACTGCCCATTTGGAGGAACATAACACAACGCCAAAATAAAACAAAAGGACAATGAGCTGCCCTCCACCGATAACCAACCAACCTTGGTTGCCAAGGTGGTTCCGGAGACTAAGCTGGGTTGGTGGCCTCGAGTAAAGGGGCTTGATTCGGCCAGTGGATTGAGACCTTCTCGTGTCATACAGAGCTGAAAGAAAACAAGTCTCGAGAGGCCGAACTAGCCAAATGGCGTCTCGGACTTGTTATAACTGAGACGAATCCGAGCGTTTCGTTGGGCGTGCGAAGGA